TGAGGTTCCCCGACACTATCTTGTGCTTTGAAAAGAGGAGAAAAAGGAAAATCACCTCTGGACAAAGTTGGGGGAGTAAGATCCTTCCAGAGCAGACATAAAACAAGTGCCTATTTCATGGCTGAGAATGCTGAACAGAAGCTCATGACACAGGGGAAGCGGCTGCAGATGAAAGGTAGATCATGGGGACTGCAAGTTCTTTGGTTTTTAAAGATTTATTTTTATCTATGCATACAAGAGCTGGCATGTGGGTCAGAGGTGTGGGGGGAGTGAGAGGACTCACCAGGACAGAGTGGGGAGCAGAAGAGCAGATCAACCAAGTCCATTGCTGAGGGGAGCAGCGGGGAGACAGGAGAGGTCTACTGCGCCCTGTGAGTCACCTCTGGGGCCGGGGATCGAACGTGTGCTGCAGTGGCTGATGATAGCGTCGTGGTGCTGAGACTTTACCTTGTGCCACTGGAGAGGCCCCCAAGAGACTGCAAGTCCTTGAAGAGATGGCAACAACTACCCAGGGAAAAGCAGGCAGAGCAGCTGGTGATTGGAATGATATTATAGCTTCAGGGACAGCAGAGTTAAGTTATCACGATGTAGATATTGATAGAAGTGGAAGAATTACCCAGACTCAAATTCCAGTTGTATGAGCTAAATGTAAAAAAATTAATTAAATGAAAGCTTCCCTCTTTCTTTGTTGAAAATTACCAGTACATGGTCATGTGTGTTCAAATGTCCTGGGTATTGTGTCTTACAGAAGTTGTTAGAGATTGACCTTTATAAAGTTGTTTCCCAAGGGCCAGGATTTGCCCTTTACAGCACTCAACAGTTTCCGTAATCGTGAGAATGAGGCATGGGGAGCATTCGCCCCTTGTCCCAGAATATGTGTATTTGTCCTGTAACAACATCAGCACAAGTACTGATGCAGGTGGATGTTCAGGAGAAAGATGATGACGATCTGTTGTAGTTCTATTATTTTCTTCATTAGCCCATAACAATTGTCCTCTCAATTCCAGTCTCGAAAGCAAACATGTTTAGGAACACCTTTAAAAAAATGAATTTAAAATGCATGCTGATTTCTCTCTTGCATTTTTTCTTTTGTATATAATACTGTTGCCTGGTAACTAAATCACAATGTATAAAGGAAAACAACGTATCATTTGTCTTTGTCAAACATTTCTGGAGCCTGACAGTCAATCCTTAAGACAAACTATTCAGTATAAACACGCACATTACTAGGTTGCTGATGACTTTAAGCTAGAATACAGGGGCACTTAGACCGATTCCTTCCACAGGAAAATCATATTAGAATCCATTATAAACTCTGCTTCATAATAACTTTTGTAATGTTGGTGTCTCACTGCAGAAGCGCCTATATAAACACATATATGTCCTTTATCACTTATTTTTTGTTCCTCCTTGACTTAAAAAAAAGTGGGGGCTCAGAGAAGAGTTAAATGAGAAGCTTCATAGGGACATCATATGCTGATGGCTTTGCCAGTTGGGAACGACCAGAGAAATGTTATTCAATATCTTAAAGAGGAGAACAAAGGTGGGGGGCTGACAAGAACCCTGACTAATCCATGGTCATGACAGATGGCACTGGAGGACGCTGTCACATCTGAACAAGGGCAGAAGAATGGAGATGGTCTCTGCAGCAAGAAGAGACAGACCATCAAAAAGGGAAGACTAAGACGCAGTGTGTCTGGCACTGTGCTGGACACTGGGGTGATTCTCACTCTTTCCCCTCCAGATTGCCATGGCCTTCCAGTGGCTGCCCATCCCAGAGCCGCCCGGCGCGAGCTCTTCCTCTGGAATCTGCTAACCGGGAGGCGCCCTGATGGCCTGTGACTGCTTTCATCAGTAGGGAGAAGCATTGGACTCTCCTATGAATAACTTCCGGGCTTCCAGCCAGAGAGTGCTCCAGAATAATGGGGCACTCGCCACACCAGGCATACCAGAGAAATGGCATTTAATAGCCTAAAGAGGAGAACAAATTCTGGAGTGATGAGTGTGAGGAGTCAGAAGAGGTAACTCCCTCTGCCCAACGTATCCTTATTGTGCCCTGGCTGTGGCCACTGTAGACCTCCAGGAAAACTGCAGCCTGTTGGCCAGGGGCTCCAGACGGACTGTGGTGACCACAGAGGCTTCCGATTCTTCCCTCTTTGCATCCCCTGGACTGGTTCCCTGCTCTTCCCACCATGCCTGTGTAATCCAGACTCTAGTCAAAGGGCTGGTTGCAGGTTGGGACTTCAGGGAGAATACCAGTGGGGAAGTCCACCTTTACATGCTTTGACCAAAGAGTGATTGCAGGTAACTCTCTGCTCAAGTGCTTACAGCACTGAAGGAAGTATATGTATATATATGTCCCTACCGATCTGCAGCAACCTCACACACCTGTATCCCTGGCATGTATAGTGGAAGTTGAAGGGACTCTTGGACACTCACCCAGAGCTGACTCTGTGCACCAATCATTCTCAATAAAGAACGAATTCAACCAACATAAGAACAGAAAGTATGGCATCACGGTCAACTCCATAGCTTATGCTCTGTGGCCATCATTCCAAGTCATGACAGATTCATTCATTCATTTGTTCGCTCATTCATTTATTCTTGTGAATAGAAGAACTAGGGTGTGGACAGAGGTGCAGGGTAAGAGGATTCACCTGAGACAGAGTGGGGAGCAGAAAAGGTGGATCTACTGAAATAAACTACTAAGGGGAGCAGTGGGTGAGACAGGAGAGGTCTGCACATCATGTAGTTCAGCTCCCTGACTGGGGATAGAACTCATGCTGCAGTAGCTGCCCATAGTTTTGTAGTGCTGAGCCTTAACCCCCCTGTACCACCAAAGAGGCCTAAAAATTAATACTTTTATATCAATCTCCCTCAATGTTAAATGCCTGAATTCATCAATTAATAGGCAAAGAGTGGCTAGTTGAGTCAGCAAATAACATCCAACCTTCCACTATCTCCAGGAGAGTTATCTGAGATTCAACAGTAAATGTAGGCTCAAAGTAAAAGATTGGAAAATAAAACTAAAAGCAAGTGGTAATAGCTATATTTATATCAGATAAAATTGACTCCCAGCTCATAATGTTAAGGGATGGACATTATGTAATGATCAAGGTCTCAATTAATCAGGAAGACATACTTTCATAACATATGCACCAAAGGAGTTATGATAAATAAGTCAACCACTAGGAAACCTAAATATAGACATTAAGAGTAATACAGCAGTATAGGGGGCTTCAACATCCTGATCACATCAGTGATCAATCATATGGAAAATTAATATATCAATCATATGGAAAATTAACAAAGAAGAACAGCCCTAAATAATGAATTAGCCAGATGAACTTACTAGGCATTTATAGGGGTACTCTACCCCCCAAAAGCTATCTTATTTCAAGTGCACATCGACATACTTAATCCAATATCTCATGTGGGATTGCAGAACAAGTGCCAACAAATTCACGAAGATTAAAATAATTTCAAGTATCTTCTTTGAAGCCACAATGTCACCAAAAGAGAAATCATCCGCAGAAAGAATACAGGAAAAGCTTAAATATGTGGAAACTAAACAACATTTCATTGAATGCCTGTTATGTACATGATAAAATCAAAAGAGAATTTAAAACATAGGTGGAGACCAACGACAATGAAAACACAATTACTAGAACCTATGAAGTAGAGCAACAGCAGTGCTAAAAGCGAAGCTTATAATAGACATCCACATCAAGAAACACGAAAGAGCTCCAATAAATAATTTTTCTTTATATCTTAAGGCTCTAGGGGGAAAAAATGACTTTGAATGAAGCAAATAATAAAAGAAGAAATAAATGAAAGCGAAATAAAAAGCAGTTCAAATAACAATGCAAGCCAAAGCATCGGGGAAAACAGATGGAAAAAGCATTCATTCGAAGGGATGTGCTTTGCTATGTTTATTGCAGCAGTGTTTACAATAGGCTAGTTAAGGGAACAACATACATGTCGACAACAGATGATGACTGGGGAGACAGATCTAGAAATACACACACAATGGGATGCTACTCAACGGTCACGAAACATAAAATCTCACCATTAGGACTACATAATGTGCCCTTCGATAGCTCAGCTGGTAAAACAGAGGACTGTAGACCGGACTTGTGTAGGATTACATAGATGGAGCTGGAGCAATTTACGTTAAGTGAGCAAATCAAAACCCGAAAGATACATATTGGAGGGTTTCACTCATTTGTGGAATTTAAAAAAAAAAGAAGGATAGAACAAGTGCATTAAAACACACCCTAGAAATCTGGCCACAGAGTGGGGGTGGGGGAAGGTGAGGAGAAAGTGGGGAGGGAATAAAGGAATCGGGGGGACGATTATCAGTGGCGAAGTGCTGGGCATTCTGCTGTAATAACACAGGAGGAGGTGGGAATTTATTCCCCCAAATGGCATACAATGCTGTAAGCCATTCTTACAACAATAAAAAAAAAACACAGAATAAAATCACAGAAGACATAACAGGTAGATAGAACGTATAATGTCCAGGTAAAAATGAGACTGTGGTAAAGTGCAAAAGACTGAGCAGGCCTGTGTCTTCTCATAGACAAATGCTCATTTACTTACCACCAAATCTTGGCCTGAGATTTTTTTTAGCTTCCAACTGATATAACCAGCACAGTGATCTTTGTGCACTGAGGCATCCATGTTTATACTCTCATCATGACACAAACCAAACCTCACATTGAAAGATCTGCAGAAATGCAGATTGTTGCCAAATTTCATTTTTGTCTAACATCCCTCTGTATAGAAGATGCTCAAATTTCAAAGTCATGTGAACATTATTCATGTATCCCCTCATCCTTAATGTAACAACATTCATGACAAAAGTTCAAGTTTCAGCGTCACCCCAGGACAAGATGGTTGATCACAAGTGTCTGTGACATTTTTCTCGCCAGTCCCCAGGGCTCTCTCGTCATTTCTGCCCACCCCCTGAAAGAGAATTTTTGTTTGTTACCTCTTACCGACATTTATTTTGACAATTTTTTTCTGAGAGTCCATCTTCATCTTCTCCCATGATGTCCACGGCAGAAAATATCAGTGCGACAAGAATGGCAAAGCAGCACACCAGCGCGAAGACCACGATGCACTTCTGCTGGGACTGCAAGAGAGAGAGAGGGAGAGAAACCTAAGCAGCTCATTTCCTACTCAGAAACTCAGGTTTGCCAGCTTTTTAAAATTTCGTGGAAAAGTCTAGGGGAAACAATTGCTTTCATCACTTCCAGAGAAGGACTGCCCTCTGGGTGAAAATGCATAAGACCTTCATGATTATTCCCGAACACAACCTTCAAATACCCATCACAGCATGTTACAGTCTGTTAATTCAAGGATTGTGTCCAGGGGCCCTCCCTGGGGGCACAGTGGGTTAAAGTGCAGCACTGTGAAGCTACCCACAGTCACTGCAGCACGGTCCGGTCTCTGGCCAGGGAGTGACCCACATGGTGTGTTAGACCTCTCCTGACCCGCCCACTGCTCCCCTCACCAGTGTATTTCAGTCCATCTGCCTGTTCTGCTCCCCACGCTGTCTCAGGTGAATCCTCTCACCCCTCCCCCCTGCCTCGAGCCTGTATCCCAGGTCTTGATTGCATAAATAATCTTAAAAAATAAAATAAGCTATTTTAAAAAAGAATTGTATCAAGACTTCAAAACAAGTTTATTCTTCTCCTCTATAATAAAAATCAGTCTAGGAATTATCACTACAAAACCATTGTTGTAGGTTAAATTGGAGCAATGAGGCTGGATTATTTTGCTCTGTCCTCTGTTGCTACATCCACCTTCCAGGCTCGCTCACATTCACTCAGCTTCTATATCCTTTTGCCTTTTCCATCTCATTTAGCTCTTAGAATGTTATAGTGAGGGCATCACAAGAGCTGAGCCTGGTGATGAGTATGCATTCTGCATTCTGCTTAGAAAAATTACATCTCCTATATGCAAGCATAATGCATTAATTAATGACAGTTTATTTCAAAATACTGAACACAATCAAAACCAGCATGCACATGCATGAGAAGATTTTCATTTGAAACACAAGTTGAAGGTCATGTGGTCCAAATCACCCTCTCCTCACTTTTAGACACATGTGTTTTGATTCAGGACATTCCTATCTCTAGGGATTCTTCTAGCCAAAGCTGAAGGAGAGTCATGATAATGGGCAGAAACTTTGGCCACCAGGACTAGTCATATGTCTGACTTCCTTTTATTAGATATATTGGAGGTGGGAGGGGTGAGAGAGAGAGCTTTGTTTCATCTATTTTCAGCTCTTGGGGTCATTTACAAAAGGTTAATGAATCTTTGCTCAGGCAGCCAGGAGTATTTTCTTGGTGCTGTATACACACACACACACACACACACTTTGTGGAATACAACTAATTTTGCCTCCTCCTTTATACTGAGAGCTACATGGGTTCCAAACGACCAAGTTCTCAAAACTCTGGGTCCAGTTTGCTTACAGACAGATGGCAGAGAAAGGTCATCAAGGAGTGGACTGTGTTTCTGTGTCCAAGCACTGTTGCTTATTCTCATTTTAGAATTTTCTAATCCTCCCTCAGGTTTTGTCTCCTCATAGAACTTTGTTATCTAATCTCCTTGCCTGTCAGTACAGTCTTCCAGCTCACACTCAAATAGGAAATAAGGGGAAGCCAAGGAAGACACAACCATGGCTGGACCCTAGACCCTGACCGTATTTAGAGTATGCTGAACGTCTTATTCTTTCTATCTCCAAGCAACTGGCACAATATCTAATTTAAAGAAAAAGTGCTCAACAAAGAATTATTTCCAGAGGCTCCCCCCAAAATGAATGGATCAAGAAGATGTGGTAAATACACAATGGAATACAGATCAGCGAGCGGAAAAGATAAACTCATGCCATTTGCAACAACATGGTACAGCTGGAAGTTAAGCAAAATAAATCAGAAGGAAACAGCTAAGTATCTGCTGATATCACTAATGTGTAGACCATAGAGGAACTAAACCAAAGACCTCATGGAATAGACAAAACCTTCAAGCTGACCACTGGTCTGAGGCAAACAGCGGGGTGTTGGGGGGAGAGAGGAGGTCGTGCAGGGGAGGGAAGAGCCCTACCCTGGGGACGCAAGGCATCCCGCGTGCTCTGGTGGTAGGAGGCTCCGAGGACTAGACCTGAGGGAAGAAATGAAATGCTGTCCAGAAATCATTAAAGATGAAAGAAAATAAGTATCAAATTTAAAAAAAGAAACAACAAAGGTATATAAACAAATAAAAAGTGAATGAATTAAATTAAAGCCATAATGGCATACTGCTGAGGATGTAGCGTGAGGAGGTGTTTCGCTCAAGACACAGTAATGAGCTTTCTGAAAATGGTTTATTGCCATATTTGGTAATAGTAATCTCGTATCTCATCCTTTTATAGTCTCTCTTAGCGCTAAAGGCAAATTTATGAACCATATTTACCAACTACATAAAACTGTAGTTTGCCCGTGTATTCATCTTGCCTTTTTATTTCCGATTTATTCCCACGTCTTCCCTAGTTTTCCTTTGAAGTAGCTGAGTGAATTGAGGGCTGAGTCTCTGGAACCAGATTGCTCAGATTCTACCACTTACTGTTGGGGGCTCTTAGGCAATAGCCTTTGTGAATTAGCTTCCCTTGATGCAACATGGAGCTAACTAAAAATAATAGTAACTGCCTTATACGGCTCTTAGTGATATAGCTAAATAAAACACTACATATGAAGTATTTTGAAGACTACTGCAAGACACAGCAATGAATATGTGTTTGTTTTTGTTAGTGAACAGATGTAAGTTCAACTCAAATACTTTAGGGGAAAAAGTTAAATGTTGATTGAACAAAACATACAGCATTGTTAATATGTGGAAAAGAGCAGAAAGACATAAAGGAAAAGATAGAATCATAGGAAGAAGTGAAGCAAAGAGAATGAAATGTGAGATGTAAGTTTTCTAGGTTATAATTTTCAGTAAACAGCTAAGTTTTCAGTAAACAATTTTCAAGAGTGATTTTAATCTGGTGTCAGAAATAAGAATTTTATGGCAGCATTTCTTCAATACACATTGCTATGTCCCACTTTAAGAGTTTTTGGTTCTATGGGACTTGTACTGGGCTAAAAAATATACTTTTATAACAACTTTCCAGGAGTCACTGGTTCAGGGAACACAAAATCTTCCTGAAAATGGAAAGAGTGAGAAATATCCCATGAAGTCATTATTAGCCTCATATTAAAAAAAAAAAAAAATCCTACTCTTTCATGATACATGAACTTAGAGATCCAGGGCATTTCTTCACTTAGCAGGTATTTATTTACTGCTTTTCACATAAAAAAGATAAAATAAAAAATAAAAATAGAGTGCACAAGGATCAGCAATGGCCATGACCTCAACTTTCTTCTTCAAATTCCTTATAAAAATTTGCAAAAGGGCCCTCCCGCACAAGGGGGTAAGTCTCAGTACTATGACGCTGTCTGCAGTCACTGGGGCAGCAATTGGATTCTCAGCCAGGGAGGTGACCCACATGGCACAGCAGACCTCTCCTGTCTTTCTGCTGCTCCTCTCAGCAGGGTATTTCAGTATACTTAATCTGCCTGTTCTGCTCCCCACTCTGTCTCTGGTGAATCTTCTCAACCTCCACACCTCTGACCTACACCCCAGCTCTTGTATGCATAAATGAAGAAGGGTGGCGTGATTATGATCGTGCCGGAATGGTGAGCAGACTGGTGTGTCTTGAAGTGCAGATTGCAGGGAGGTGCTTACCTCTGGTAGGAAAGTAGGATGAGGAGGGATATGATTGGGGAGAAGTGGTACCGTGCTTTTAATGATCTATAGCACCAGTTTTTATAAGTTTTGTCATCAATACAATACGTGTATATGCCTCTGCCAAGAAATCCTATTTAGGTATTATTTATGATACTAATATGGCGACACATGGTGCTTAAAATAATGTCTAATAAATTCCCCAAAGAGTGATGAATACCTCAGTGTGCTAAGGGAAAAATATTCCTTACCATTTGATGGAAAAAAATGAGCTGTGTCTAAAGCAGATGGAAAAATAAAGATATCATTTAGACTTTTTATGCCCTTCCTTGGGTAATAAAAAATGATAAGATACTCAGGCCAACCTGGCTTGAATAATAGATATCCATTCAGCAAGTTCTCAACTGTGACCATAGCTATGATTAATAGAAAATTAAGCTAAACAGTGAGCTCCCAATATACATAAGCATCGCTTTAAACATTTCAGAGATTTATGTAGAACCCACTAACCTGGGTGTCAGCTATGCTTCTCTTTGATGAGCTTTTATAAAAAATATTTATTTATTCTTTAAGATTTATTTGTGCATCCAGAACTGGGGTAGGCCAGGGGTATGAGAGGTGAGGGGATTCACCAGAGACAGAGCAGGGAGCAGAGCAGGCAGACTGATGAGGCACACTGCTGAGGGGAGCAGCGGGTGGGCCAGGAGGGGTCTGCCGCGCCACGTGGGGCACCTCTCTGACTGGGGATCGAACTCACGCTGCAGTGGTTGCGATCACTTCATAGTGCTGTGATTTAACCTGTTGCGCCACCAGGGAGGGCCCCTCTTTGATGAGCTATTATGGTCATATGATCAAATCTGCAGTAGAAGCTTGATATTCTGCAATAAACTTAGCTTCTGCTGTTGCAGTAAATAGAAGGTTTGATGCGCTCTGTTAAGAATATCAACACAATTTACAGAATTCTGCTGAGATTAATCTCCCCAGATAAGGACAGACTCTGATTAACTGGGGGGCGGGGGGGTAGGCGGAGGGAAACACTTAAGAGTGATGGTACTTTAGCTGTTAAGCAGAGAGAAACAAAAGAGAGATACGGTAAAACTGATTTCTTTCCTGGTTATCTGCTTGAAATTTTGCTTTTCACGTTCACTCTATTCTTAGATTAAATATTTCTGTTCATTTAACTGTTAGCGAATTCATGAGAGCCTCCCTGGTGGCCTAGGGGTGAAGTCCCAGGGCTATCTCTGCTGTGGTCTGATTTAATTCCCCAGCCAGGTAGCTGACCCACATGGCAGAGCAGACCTCTCCCGTCTCACCACTGCTCCCCTCAGCAGTGAATTTCAGTCTATCTTCCTGTTCTGCTCC